ACTCTTAACTTTTATAAAGAATATCTCTTTGGATTTGAGACTTTAGTCTTTGCAACTTTACAGATCTTCTTTATGCACCAAGAGCTTGTAACACTCCAAAGAGAAAGGAAAAATTTAAATCGCATCATATGACCCCTTTAATTACTTGAAAGTAAGTGAACAATTATTGCAAGCTACACTCTGAATCAAAAGCTGGTAATAGCAATTATTTGATTCAATTTAAGCTTGCAACAGCAAAGTGCAGCTTCTCTTTTTTAGGGGGAAAACTAGTTTTTCCCTAAGAGAGGCTGTTACAAAGAAATGTGAAGGATTTTTTTCTGGTAGTTGTCACTCATGAACGGATTGATTCATATGTTTTGATGCTTGTCACTACTGATGTTTTTGATGTTGATATCTTTTTCTTAAAGTCTGCGTGAACCGGAAGTTGCTGCTGACTTTATTTCAGTGAAGTGCCGTATTTCCAGCTGAAACGGAATATTGAATAGAGGGTGTGGTTTGATTTTTGCGTTCCTCCATTCATCTATTACTCATAGCAACCTAACGGTTGGAGGGGTGTGTTTAAGGATATTCTACCCAAGCCGTCAAACTGACGTCATCAGAGAAGGAATGCAATTCCAAAGCGGAAGTAAATGTTCAGATTTTGATTAAAGATTACCAAGACAAACAATTTTTTTCAGCGGTTTAACTTGCACGGTTTAATTGTTCACATCAAGACTAGCAATGTGCGCTAGTAAAGTAAATAAAGTCCATTTTGATTTCATGCAGACTTTAAAGTTACACATGAAACAGCTTGCCATACTTCCTTTTCTTGATAATTAGCATTAACAAATCTGTTTTGCCTTATAGGATGTGAGTAAACTAACTCCTCTGTCCCAAGAGATCATCAGCAGACAAGCCACAATAAACATAGGTGAGATTTCCTTTTACTGTTTTGTGCTGCTTTGCCTTTAAACAAATGTCACATGAAATTAATTACCTATATATTTGTCTCTAGGAACTATTGGTCATGTAGCCCATGGAAAATCAACTGTGGTGAAAGCTATCTCTGGAGTTCACACTGTCAGATTCAAAAATGAGCTGGAGAGAAACATTACAATCAAGTTGGGTTATGCTAATGCTAAGGTAATTGCGTCATTCACTAATCTCTCTAAAATAATTATTGCAAGCTACACTCTGAATCAGAAGCTAACAATAGCAATTATTTGATTCAATTTAAGCTTGCAACAGCAAATTACAGCTTCCCTTTTTAGGAATTTTCTTTTCCTCTAAGTGAGGCTGTTACAAGTTATTTCTCTTGAATAAATGTGAAGTATTAATTTTGATTAATGTTTGTGTCTTTTGCTTAAAGTTTATATGTTTTGTATTGAATCCCTTATTTAGGTGTATAAATTGGATGATCCAGGTTGTCCACGGCCAGAGTGTTACAGGAGTATCATTGCCGATATGAATTTGGGAGAAGTGTACATATATGCTACTGTTCAAATGTTTGTGTTGGTTTGTTTTTTTTTCAAAGGGGTTGTAAACTGCCTTTGTTTCTTATTTTGTACTGTTCTCTGAGGTCCACTTATAATGTTATCAAGATTTTTACATCAAAAAACATCATAATTAAGATGTATTAGGCGGCTATAAGATTGTAGACTCGGAAGTAAATGGCCACTAGTATGATTGGCTAACAGTTTGGCAGCCTAAAGGTTAAAAACGCATATACTCAGTAAATACTCAAAATCCTACATTGAATTGTGCCTTGTTTGTAAACGAATCCGGGGTAAAATGAAGTTAACAAAGGACAGAGGTCTTACTGAAGTCGTTACTGAAATTTTAAAAACGTCCATTTCCTGCAAAAATTTGAGCACTGTTGAGTGAATTCTTAAAGGGGTCTTATGGTGTGATTTCAAGTTTTCCTTTCTCTTTGGAGTGTTACAAGCTGTTGAATAGATAAGATCCCTAAAGTTGCAAAGACTAAAGTCTCAAACTAGGGCTGCCACTAATGACTATTTTTATTTGGCGATCCACAGCGCGAAGTTGATGTATTTCCTCAGCGACCAGCACGGATAAGCTCCAGGCATGACGAAGTGGATATCGTCCTCTTATGGAAGGCCAAACAAAGTAGTTTCGCTTATATTATGTGCATATATTTTAGGGATCCGCTCATAGACATGGCTTTCAAACACTCCCGTATCGCTTCTGTGTGAGCAGTGCTCGGTGAAGAGCGATGATCATTGTAGCCAATCACAGTCATATCTGTTGAGCGTGTGAACACTATGGCCATCTTCTTCTGAAGATGCAGTTTAGCCACTCTATTACGTCATAAAGTGGCACATTCCACAACCTGTTGTTTTGGCAGACTATAAAAAAACTATATATAGGTTTCGAGTTCTGAAACTTACAGGATGTCAGGACCTCTTAAATATCAAAAGATCATGGGAATTTAGATTTTTCAGTTCATGACCCCTTTGGTGATCAAGAAACATTTCTTCTAATTATTGTCAATGTTAAAAATTGCATTTATTTGAAATAGAAATCTACTGTAACATTCTGAAAGTCTTTACTGCATTTGATCTAATTCTAAACACATCTTTCAAAGTTTTGTTGCCACAAACTTGATAAACCAATCTAGTGATTACTTCTTTCTCTGAAATTGAAACTGGAAACAGATAGTTCATCCAAAATCAAAAATGTACTCACTCTCATATTGCTTGACTTGTGTGACTTTACTTTTTGTGTTGAACTTTAGAAATTTTGAAAAATTTGATTTTTCTTTTTTTTTCCCATATAATCAAAGTGAGTAGGTCTGTCAGGACCTCTAACATACAAATCCAACAAAAACTCCAAAATACTGTCTATTCAAATCTATTACATGAGGATAAGTAGATGATGACAGAATGATAATTTTGGGCGAACTATTCATTTAACATGGACATTTTGTTAATCTTTTATGTGTCCTCAAATTCCCTGGATGAGTTGTAAAGACTGATGGAAAAACTGTCCCATTATAATAAGGTTTCGCCTTTGTTTTCCTACAGGCACAGTAGCAGAGGGAGCTCCAATCATCCCGATCTCAGCCCAGCTCAAGTACAACATTGAGGTTGTCTGCGAGTACATTGTAAATAAGATTCCCGTGCCTGTCCGCGACTTCACCTCTGAGCCTCGCCTTATTGGTAAGAGACCTTCAATATTACTAAAGAGGACTCACTGTGCTCCGTGTCAAAGTTTAGATGAGTGACAATGTTCTTCTTTTTTCTCCACAGTAATCAGGTCATTTGATGTCAATAAGCCTGGCTGTGAAGTAGATGATCTGAAAGGCGGTGTAGCTGGAGGAAGTATCCTCAAAGGAGTCCTGAAGGTAACTTTTGACTTGTTTGATCCAATATATGCCAAGCATTTTTTAGGGATGGGTCACGATTTTCGAATATTCGATTAGTTGATTTAATGATAGAATATCGAATAGGTTGTGTGATTATTGTCTTAAAAAATCTTGGTGGTGACGCGTTCATGTAAGCAGAGGGTGGCGCTGCCAGTAACGCACTTAAAAACAGCAAGTTACAGTAACTTGGGACGATGTCAAGTAAGAGTTCTGTGCGGACCACAAACACCCCCGACTGGGTTAGAGGTGTGGCTGAATCTGTATTCAGAAAGGCGCGGAAAACAAATAACGCTTTCTATGGTGCCACTAAAGGGACATGGTTAGCTGCTTGCTAACAGGTAGCCTGTTACATTACAGTACATAACATTTTACTTAGTTACAACAAAAACAGAGTAAGGAGAAATGACTGATAGGATTATGGCGAATGATTTGCAGATCCTGAGCAAAAATGTGTGGTAAGTACTGCCGAGTGCTGCTCCGTACGTGTGATCGCGAATCTCGAATGTGAAAGTAAAAAACAAGCACGGGTTCAAAAGCGATTTAAATGCCCCGCATATTAATAATGGCTCCCTGATGCCTGCAGTTTATATACAGTATAATTACCCAACGATATAATTGCGACAGAAGATATTGAAGTATATTTTTCCTCCCATCTCGTATCTATTCCCTTTAGGGGTTCCATTTTTTTTAATGGAAATGTCCTAGCCTTATGAGCAGTTCAAAAATGTGTTTTACTGCGAAAAAACAAGATTTGGCTTTTAAAAAGCCTTTTTCCAAAAGGTACATCTGGAAAAATGGGGGTCGTCTTATAATCAGGGTCGTCTTATATTCGGGCCAATACGTTATTTAAACTTTATGTAAGTTATTTGTTATTTTATATTAGGCATAGCCTGCCATATAGCATGGTGTATTTTTTCGTTTTGTTATATATAGGCTAAAGTGAGTTTGACGTTGTATTTTGTTGTTGCATTCAAGCAATTGACGCCGAATTGACGCTAATTCTAAAGTGAACGTAAAATGCACGGCGCTTTGAAGCTATTTAAAGGAAAGCGAGGAAAAGAGGGAAAGTAAAAATGAACAATTGCTTTACGCCGAATTGCTGCTATTTGAAAGTGAAAATAAAAAGCGCACGCTGCTTTTACAAGCTATTTAAAAGCCAAGGAAAAGAGGGAATGCCCCTGCCCCCACGGTGATACTGGTAATATCGGTGTTGTCACAAGCCGATTAACCAGTGGCAAAATTTCCTCACCGTCACAACCTTATTGTGTTTATTATATTAATATGTTTCAGCACGTTACAATCATTATATGGCTTGAGTTAAGGTAGTTTATCTTCTGAATTAAACAGTTTATCACACAGATTAAAAGTGTGAATCCCGTCTCTCTCTCCCTCTCTCTCAGTTTATGGGTGTTTGTGCGTGCATGTGGGGAAGGGGTGCGATTTTTGAATAATACCCTGTGATTATCGAATATTATTTTTGCTTGGAATGCCCATCCCTAGCATTTTTCCACCCGTCCCACAATTCCTAAAGCACTTTCATTGTCAGACTATCAGGCTTCTGCTTTGCTGTTGCTATTTCTGTTCCTCTTTTCATGCTGTTCTTCTGTGTTTATTTTGGTTCAAGGTTGGACAGGAGATTGAGGTCAGACCAGGTATTGTTTCTAAGGACCATGAAGGGAAACTAATGTGCAAACCTATCTTCTCCAAAATTGTCTCCCTGTTTGCCGAACACAATGACCTCCAATATGCTGCTCCTGGTGGCCTTATTGGTATGCAGACTTACACATTACTGCAGTCTTGTAATTGTGTGTGTTATTGTAACATTATTTTAATGTTTGTTACGCACATTCTTTGTTGCAGGTGTTGGCACCAAGATTGACCCTACACTGTGCAGAGCAGATCGTATGGTGGGCCAGGTCCTCGGCGCTGTGGGGGCTCTTCCTGAGATTTTCACAGAGCTTGAGATCTCCTACTTCCTTTTAAGAAGGCTGCTTGGTGTGCGCACTGAGGGTGACAAGAAGGCAGCCAAGGTAAAGATTTTATAGTAGTATTATGTATTAACTCTGTTTGTTTTTCAACATTCTTATGAATGATGACATTTTTTTATTTTAGGCAATTCCTCACATCGAAATTAGTTTTGTTTCATGTAGTCCACTCTAAAAGGTGTAGTTCACTTCCAGAACAAAAATGTACAGATAATGTACTGACCCCCTTGTCATCCAAGATGTTCATGTCTTTATTTCTTCAGTTGTAAAGAAATAGTTTTTTGAGGAAAACATTTCAGGAATTATCTCCATATAATGGACTTCTATGGTGCCCACGAGTTTGAACTTCCAAAATGCAGTTGCAATGCAGAAGAAGGGTCTTATCTAGCGAAACGATTGGTCACCAAAGTTTAGTGGACAAATTACTCTGCCTCCATCTCAGGATGTGCTGCCTGTCTCTTCAATGCCTATTTCTTCTGCACCTACTACTACAGGGCTATTAGAGACACAACATTTGCAGCCTTCTAATCCATGTTTCCCTGTTAGACCTTCCTTTCGTCCCTCAGATAAGCTCAGGTCACAATCTGTTGCGGATCCTAATGTAATGGGTGCAGACTTGACTCAGCAACATAATGGTCCTCCATGGCTATCTTCAGTCAGGCATTATCAAATGAATACAGGTTTTTATTCCAGTGATCAACAAGTAGAAAGGGATCAAAGCCTTTTTCCATCTGATCAAATGCAGGGAAATGCATTTTGTATGCCCGGTCTTCTATGGATGCCTCCAAGTTGGCCATTTTCTTTCCAAGCGGAGGATTAAGGCCTCCATACCTGTATGATTTTCCTTATCCAGTATTATATCCATCTTATGGCCAACATGCTCCACTTAATTGTGATCCTTCAAGAGTTGCAACATTGCCTCCTAGAGATCTATCAGTTGGATTTCCCTATTAAGCTAATCCTTCCATTATGTCTATCCCGAATCCTTTGACCTCCAGAGATATCACTGCTTCAGCACCTCAAGAGCAGCAAAGAGATATGAATCAAACATGTGCACTTTCTCCAACTGGAATACAAATGATAATACCTGGTCAGCATATGTCTATTCCAGCAGCAGTGACTGTGCCCCACACAGTGATGCCTGCTTTACAGCCCTCCAGGTCAGCCCTTATTGAAAGACTTTCATTTCCATATTTAAAGAGTGATGACCCCCATGAGTTTGCCATGTTGCCCCCAGAAGAAACTGAGCAATACAAGTATCATATTCTTCTGGATCATTTGAAGTTTGATGCAGCCCGACATTTAGCCTTGGCTTATGCCCATCATTCCCAGCCTTATACTACTGCATTGAAGGCTTTTCAGAAAAGGTATGGTCAACCCCATCAGTTGGTGCTTCGAGAGATTGCTGCTATTAAGAATTTGCCTGCTGTACATTCAGGAGATCCTGTTGGGTTTGGTAAATTTGCTGTACAGGTTTAAGTTCTTGTTGGCATGCTTCAGTCCTGGGATCATGAAAGATCAAAAGAGTTATCCTGTGCATCACATGTTCATCAATTGCTTAGTAAGCTACCAGCACAGCAGGTCACCAGTTTTGCAAGATATGCTAAATCCACTCGACCAGATGAGCCCTATGACTTGGTTAATTTCTCTGTTTGATTGGAAGAGAAATCAGAATGTCAGAATTTAGATATCCAGGTGTTTGAACAATCTAAAGGTGTGAAGTTTCAGACAAGAGAAGGGAGGCCTACCACGTTTCAGTTTCAAACAGCTGCATGGGGTGAGTCCAGAAGTGAACCTACCCACTAAGAGAAAGAAAATTTAAACTACTAACAGTGAAATTATCAGATCACAGGAAAGGAATGAGGGCCGTAAACCATTTTGTGCATACTGTTGCAGTACTGATCACCATCTTAGTCATTGTCCTGAATTCCAGAGCTTTGATACAGTAGCCAAACGGAAATGGACTGCTGACAAATAACCGTTGTTGGAGATGTGGCTGGGCCCATAGATCCTTCAACTGTGACCTGCAAAGAAAATGTCCAGTGTGTCAGAATCGGCACTTAGGAATACTGCATGAAGTGAATGCACACAAACCTGATTCTGAAATATTTTATTTGAGCAGACCAAGTTGTCTTAATGCTGTTCTTCTGAAAATCGTGAAGGTAATTTTGAACCACCAAGGAAAGACTCTGGAGACATATGCCATATTAGATGATGGTTCAGAAAGAACCATGTTTATGTCTTCGGCTGCAGAGAGTTTAGGTCTTCATGGGGCGGCAGAATCATTGGTCCTTCGAACCATTCGGCAAGGCACAGAGAAAATTGATGGTGCTACTGTTTCCTTTTCAATTTCGCCAGCTTTCCATAAGCAGAGTAAATACCAAATACGAGGAGCCTTTACTGCTCAAATGCTTGATTTGCCTGAACAGACTTCCCCAGTGCAGATCCTCTAGCGACGCTATCAACATCTAAGAGGCCTCCCTCTGGTGGAGTTTCAGAAGGTTAAACCTATGTTACTAGTGGGAGCTGATCATTCTCACCTTCTTTGTTCCAAAGAGCGAGTACGTTTCGGTCCTCCTGGAAGTCCAGCTGCTTTGCATACTCGCGTAGGGTGGACACTGCAGGGACCTACTTCTTTGGGTGAGAAGACTAATTTTATAACACCGTGTTTCTTCCAAGCTTCCCTCTCCATGGATCAGTTGCACAAGGATTTGAAGAAGTTATGGCAAGTTGATGTATGTCTTTTCTCTCAGACTCCTAAGCCTGCTCAGCCTTTGCACATTGTCTCCATCCCTGTTGGTGCAGAGAAGCCGGCTCAGCACTTGCACATTGTCTCCATCCCTGTTGGTGCAGAGAAGCCGGCTCAGCACTTGCACATTGTCTCCGTTCCCATTATATTAGAGAAGTTGGCTCAGCCTTTGCATGTATCTGCTGGTACAGATGGCTCAGTGTCTTTCACAAGAGGGAAATTAATCAAGGTTCTGTCCTCTGTTTCCGCTGCTTGGCCCTTTGAACTCTCTCTATTTGCTATGCTGCCCATGGCGCTTTGTTCAGTCCTGTTTGCTCTGTTCCAGTTCATCACCAGTTTGTGATCAACTTAATCTTAGTCGTGCTGTTGGAGCCTTGTTTTACCTCTGGGATTCTATTAGAGCAGTTGACATTTCTATTTCCTTCTACAACCCTGCCTGTACCATGGCCTCCACCTTTTCCAGGAGTTCTGTTATGGCCTGTATTGTCATCTGCAACGGTTTTGTTGAAGCTTTGTGTTTATCTAGTATCCTGTTGGGGCAGTATTGGATGGATCCCATTTGTCTAGTGCAGGGCTGTCCAAACTCTGTCCTGGAGGGCCGGTGTCCTGCAGAGTTTTGCTCCAACCCTAATTAAACACACAAATGGCTGTAGTTTTTGTGAATGAAACATGTAAATTGTATAGTCTGTTGTAAAATGAATTGGTATTATGAATTTTCTTGTATGCAAATGTTAACAAAGCGGCTGTAGAAAATTCTGCGTCCTGATAAGAACACCTGTGGCCTCTTACTATTTAAGCCTCAGTCTCAATAAGCCTGTTTACACCTGGTCACCTTTTTTCTGATCTGGTCAGATAGCTATCTGATCGTGAAAAGACCAGGTGTAAATGCCCTCCGAAACGCATTCGAGACGGATATAAATCCGATGCTCAAACCACTTCAGGAGGTGGCCTGGGCCGCATTCCAGACGAAACTGGACAAGTGTAAATGCATCTGGTTGTTGAACCCACATATGTAAATTTTACTCCTCCCAAAATGTTAAGATAATAAACGTGTGAGAGCGTGTTATAGGCTATATGACATTATATGACTGCGCTAATGCAACCCGGATCGCTGCAGACGAGTAGCTGAGTATCTCTTCAGCAAGCCGACGCGCAAACTGCCGCGAATGAAACAAAGTAATACGCAGACGGCCAACACGCAATCATCTTCATTAAAAGTAGTATGACAAACTTATCTTTTCAGTGCTGATGCCGCGCGCTCTACTATTGCGGTCTTTGATCTTGAAATGAGCTGATAATTAATCAAATGCAGCGCTTATCTTTTGATTTAGTTGACAAGAACTCAGTTAAATTAAAATATAGCGTGGGAATTGAAGATCGGATTTATATCCGTTTTGCGACGACACATTTATGTGGCCAAGTGTAAATGGAAACGTTTTAACAAATTAGATAGATATCCGATCAGCAAAAACACATGAAATGACCAGGTGTAAACAGGCCCAATGTGGTTGTGTGTGAGTAGCCGTGTCTCCATGCAAACATGGCCTGTGTGGAATTGAGTGATTAATTTATGCAAGTTCACCATTGCTTGTTTCTTTGATTATGTATGTGATTGTTTTATACTAATTGTTTATGGTTTATCAGAAACCAACAATTACCAGCACTTGTTACCATGGAAATGTATACTCCTACATGTTGAGAAAATCAACTGGAAACATGAGATTGATGACTGAATGAGATTTAATGGACTCACCATTCCGGTAGCAATAGCCAAACCAGCCTAATATTCCTTCCAATTTTTTACAATGGGTATATTTGTAGCGATAGCCAACAATACATTGTATGGGTCAAAATTATCCATTTTTCTTTTATGCCAAAAATCATTAGGATGTTAAGTAAAGATCATGTTCCATGAAGATATTTTGTAAATTTTCTACAGTAAATATATAAAAAAGGTATTTTTTTATTAGTAATGTGCATTGCTAAGAACTTCATTTGGACAACTTTAAATGTGATTACAAAAATTTCAGATGATGTATAAATCTCAGTTTAAAAAAATTGACCCTTATGACTGGGTTTGTTGCCAGGGTCACATATTACGTAAACACAAACTTTTATTTTGAATATAATTCATCACAATTAATTGATTTGACCGCACTAATTAATAAGCTTTCTGATTTCACTGTATTTTTGTCATTTTGAATAATATAACAGTTTTTGATTTTTATACTTATTTGGCCAACAGGTTCAGAAGCTGTCGAAGAATGAGGTGCTGATGGTAAACATTGGCTCGCTGTCGACAGGAGGTCGTGTGAGTGCAGTGAAAGCTGATTTGGCCAAGATTGTGCTCACTAACCCTGTGTGCACAGAGGTGGGGGAGAAGATCGCCTTGAGTCGCAGAGTGGAGAAACATTGGCGGTGAGCACATTTTTGTTCAGCTGTTTGTTCTGTGCAATAATATGCATCAATGAATCATGCACAATTAGATCAGAAACTTGTTTTATATATTTTTCACTCCATGAATGCAGTTTGTACAGTCATTGACTTGTTTCTCTTCACTAGTTTGATTGGATGGGGTCAGATCAGGAGAGGGGTGACCATCACACCCACAGTCGACGATGATTGAGGAGTTACCACATTCTTTCAATGGCTCGCACTGTCTCTCTGCCGGACATAATTAAATCATTTTCACACACACTCGTGCACAGGCCAGCGCGTTTCGTTGTCAGCGCAGAGTGGAGGGAAAGGCTCTTTTTGATAGGAACGCACTGGCCCTGTATTTTAAGATGTTCACCATCCTCTGTGGAAGGATTGGTGTCATTTATATGAGAAATGCAATGAAAACAATATTCCTTGGCTTGACAAAGATATTGTCAACATCTTTCAGTGATGACTAATAAAAACCTTTTGGATCAAACTGTTTGTGTGCTTTGTTTTCTGAAAATGGTGCTTAATTTCAACCACTATAATTACTATTAAACTACTTTTAAAACCTTATTCTCAAGAATAAGAGCAATGTAGTTGTAAAAATGCTCCAAAGATCTTATTGCAGTATGGCCTGCGGGGTTATTAATAGCACCCAAAGCCATTTGAGAGTGTGGGGTGACACATTGAGTCAATAAGTAATGATTATTTATAAGTGGGGGGGGTACGGGTCCACAACAGATTGGTTTCTACACCTTTGATTAAACTTAAAATATCCTGAACAAATAGTTGTATATTAAAAGTATGAGGAAGGTAATCTATAAGCATGTAGTAAAATGTTTTTGAGGCTTTTGAATGAGCAGCAGTTGTGTCCTAACGGTTTGGTTGCATTATACCTTGTATTAATAACCTCAGTTACAGTATTTAATGGTGTGAGGAGAACATTAAACTCGATCTTATCTCTACCCAACCACATTGCTTAGCTAAGTCTTGAGTATTAAATTCAAGTATTAATATTATCGTCATATTTCTTATATGCTGTCGTGTTATTATTTTTAATTTACATTATTTTTGTATATTATGTATATTTGCTTGGTTTTTAATGTATGTTAATAGTTATGTTTATAAAATATGCTGGCCTGTACCTAATATTAGATCAAACTGACATATGTTCAAGCGTCTTGATAAAAAAAGACAAGAATAAAAACGTCAAACCATTAGGTCAGTAACCGTATACGCGCTAAACTGTGTAAATGTGCTACTCTGCAAATATTTTCAACCAAAACAATTGTCCTAATAAGCCTTTATGGTCATTAAACCATTTTCAATGCATAAATCCATAACTGGCTAATATCCCGAGCTCGCTAATCATTCCGCATCATACGCCTTTGACGCCACCACAAAATAAAGCCCACAAATACTCCCTCACACGCGACTTCCGAAGCGCTAAACAAAAGCAAAATCATTCGTTTGGTTTTACTCAATACGGCCTAGTTTTAAAATCGCCAACGCGCAGAGAAAATACAGTCGGCGGGCCTGCCAGAAGAGCCGGACTGCGGCCACCTGTCTGAGACTCCTTCCGCATTTTCCTGCGGCTCCGAGGCAGTGACGTGCGCCTCTGAAGGCGGCGTAATCTCCGGCGGAGCTGGAGGCTGCAGCGCCGCGGAGCGCATCAGACTCGGCCCCTCCCCTCCGCGCTCCGCGGCGGCCCGCCCTGCTCACACAAGAGCCCCGTCTGCGCTCTGCCCGAGTCTGGGGGTGGGAGACGGAAACCCGCACGGCCTTGGAAACAAAAAAAACACAAAAAGGTAGGCCGCTGTGTTTAACAGAATATGAACGTTCATATTTGTTAGATTAGCATCTGATGCGATATCTTGGAGTGTGCGTGACATACGTGTTTATCTGTTTGAGAGATTAACGTCGTTGCAGTGGCGCGTAGGCCTTTGTTAGCAGCGAGCCGCGGCCTTCAGAGGCCTAAAGTAGGCCGCGGAGACGAGACTCTCGAGACGCGCATGATCGATTCATAAGCTACTACACATTGACTTCATGTTCAGATGCATTACGCAAACTATAACTGTGTTGCAGGTCATATTAAGAGTCATTGTGCGGACACTTAAGTATATATTTTTTAGATTTTATGTATTATTTGTATTTATTCAAAATGGCGATGATCGCGAAAGGGGGCGTGTCTGGTTATTTATATCAGTGGGCGGGGCATTCTGACTGTCACAGAAGCGTCAACACTGCATTACAGTATCAGATTATGGGATTCATGGAAGCCTGTTTGCCTTACAGCTGCTGTACTAAAAGTATAATCAGGTCATTCCTATTGTATAGTTATTTTTGTAGCTCAGTAGCTTGGAAATAAATCTGCTTGTGTTGTAATTTAAAGTATTTCTACCTAGGGGTGTACTAGACTTTCAGAAATATTCACTGGTCGTGATCAGGTACTTAGATGTATTAATAATTTGATTATTTAAAAAAAATTAAATTCCATTTTAAATATTTTTTTATGCAATATAAAGTTACATACTATAATTATGTTCATGTTATGGCCTGTAACTGATATAAACATTGATCATTATTAACATTCTACACAATTTTGTCAAAATAAAATAAAACTAGTGCTGTCAAACGATTAATCGCATCCAAAATAAAAGATAAAAAATAATTTTTGTTAACATAATATGTGTGTGTGTACTGTGTATTAATTATGTATATATAAATACACACACACGGTATATATTTTGAACATATTTACATGTATATATTTATATTAATACAATTTATATCTAAATATATTTAATATATAAACAATATATTTTTCTTAAATATATACATGTGTGTGTATTTATACAAAATATACACAGTTCAAGCACATTATGTAATCAATCTTATTTTGGATGTGATTAATCAATTGATAGCACTAAAAAACACTACTAACTAAATTACTTGTGAATTTCAGCATCACAATATTATGAAGGACAGATATTAATTTTGAGATATGCTAAAGCTTACATTTAACCATGTTGTTAAATTTAAACTAAATGATTTATCATTCTACTTATATTTATTCTAATTATATTTATTATTTTATGCAATAGATCAAGACATATATGTGATTGGGATATAAAAATGTTCTGCATAACCAGAATCAATTGAATAAACTGGAATAAATTGCTTTAGTGATGGGAAGGAACTAAATACTAATATTTAACCTGGTATTTTATCACTTTTTTTCAGATGTTTTAGTAAAGCAATAAGCCCTGTGAAGCCGTGATTTACAGTGAATTTATATCAAAAAATTAATTTTGTGTTTGTTTCACAAAATAAAATAAAAACATTATTCTTCCGCCAAACAATGTAGTTCCTCAGAAAAGGTTGTGGTTCCAACAAAGTGGTTGCCGAGCAACACACAAATGTAAACAAAGGTGTATGTTTGTTTAGAGTAATTTACAACAGCTTCGAAGTTCGAGCTTGGCTCAACCAATCAGAATCAAGGACCGGAACTATCAGTTTTATAGTTATCTTTTTAATATCCTAACATGTATTGTTTAAACCTATTGCAAGACAATTCTGACAAAGTATTATATAATGCTGATTTTATGCTGTGAATCTTACTCGAATTAGACTTTCATGTTCGTATTGTGTTGATGGTTTTATTTCCTTTTCCATGTTGTTCCTGTAGGTCTTATATTATGCAGATGACCGGCGGAAGCTATGGATGAAGATGTGACGGCTCTCTCTCTTCATTCCCATGAGCCCAAGATCATATTCCATGGGACAGGTAAACAAACAACGACTTGATGAAGCCTCTCATATGGTTGTTTTATGAGTGTAAAGATATTTATGTGTGAACTTTATGGTTTCTTCTACATGAAAAGGGGGTGATGGAGAAGAAGACGAGGTGGTGGTAGAACTGCAGGAGTCGGTTCTGGTGTCCGACGTGGTGGATGAGAAGATCGCGGTGCACAGCCTCGCCCATGAGGAGCTGGTCATCCAGGAAGCTATCGAGGATGTGGTGGCGGAGTACGTGCCATGCACGGATGAAGACGAAGAGCTTGGCACCATTGCTGTGGAGACCTGTGTGATGTCACCCGATGATGTGGCTCTGGAGGAGGAAGGACTGCAGGTTGATGTGGTGACTGACGCTCAGGTACAGGAGGATCCTGACACCTGTGGAGACTACCTCATGATCTCTTGTGAGTGGCTTCAGCCAATCAGAATAGAGCATTTGTTGGAAAGGATCTGTGGATATTAATGACTCATTCAGAACGTTTCTGTGTAGTAAACAGTCTATGTTTAAGGCGCAGCTACATGCACTGATGTTCGGCACTTTTTTGTAAGTGAAATCCAGTCATTTCAAAGGAAGCCAAATGATGGCAAAAGATTTCCTCTCATAAATTTCACAACAGGTTCAAGTTTATCCAATGAATTTGCTGTGTTGACCAACAGAAAGCTGCTTAGTTCGGAAGTGACCTCTGTGCTTCATGCATCGCAACACTATAGACAATAGATCTTTTTTTGTCCTTAAAAATGACGCCCAAATTACTGTATTGTTGAAAGAATTTTTTTTCTGATCATTATTATTATTATTATTTGAGATGCAGAATATATTGGTACCATATCAGTTATTGCCCTTTTATTTATTTATTATTATTTATTCAGATATTCATTTAATGGTATAATCATTTATGTTATACATTAGATATTCATTTCATTAATATTAACTATATAACTGTGCATGCTTATTTGCTCTAGTTTTACATTTAGATGATATTTGCCATCATCTAAAGCTCACTTGAAGTTAATTTTTAAAAACGAGTAATTTAATAACACTGTTAAATCTAAACTTTAGCACATTTCCACACCATACATTATATTATAATATTGTGATTTATCGTGTATCACTAAAAGTAACTGATTGTAGTTGTTAATGTTTTTAGATTTAATTTGTTTAGATAAAGTAGTATAGAATTTTAATATCAATATTTATCAGTTATTGGTAATAATTATCAGAATATTCATGGCATAAACAAAACAAAACAAAAAATTGCAAGATATAAACTTACATTTACATACAGAGTTGCAAAAAAAAAAGTCTGAATTGTAAGATAAAATGTTGCAATCACCTTTTTTATTTTTTATACATCCTGTAGCAGACTACTGTTATTGCTAAAATTAATGATTTATTAAACACAATTGCTTTTTATTATATTACTGTTGCTGCTGTTTAAAGCTTCCACTTTGTGTTGAACGTGGTAAACGTTCTTTGCACCATTTAATGATGCAGTATGCAAGAACATGGATGTTGCTTGTTTGTCACCATCTGTTTGTCTTGATTTTATTTCAGTGGATGAGGCTGGAAAGGTGGTTTCTGATGAGGATGCTAAAGTTACTATTGAGGGCACTTTAGAAGACCCAGAGGATGCGGAGAAGGATGATGAGGGTCAAGAGGTCATCAAAGTGTACATCATCAAGGCTCACCCAGAGGAGGAAGACTTGGGTATGTTTGAACTTTCTTAAGTCTGCAGCACGATGCTGAACTTCATTAAAGAGTTTTTCAAACACATTTTATTTTAGTGTGTATACAGTGCCCTCCACTAATATTAGCACCCTTGGTAAATATGAACAAAGGCGGCTGTGAAAATAAATCTGCATCTTGATCTTTTTGAGCTTTCATTGAAAAAATTCACAAAAATTCTAACCTTTCATTGAAGTAAAACAATTGAAAGTGAGGGGAAAATCTCATGATGAAATAAATTTTTTTTCTCCAATGCATGTTGGCCACAATTATTGGCACCCCTAGATATTCTTATGAGTAAAATATCTCTGAAGTATATTCCTATTCCTATTTACATTTTTTAGCTCACCAGGGTGACTAGGAGCATGAAATTCTCCAGCCATGACTTCCTGTTCCACAGAATTATAAATATGAGGAACACAAAGGCCAAATTCCCTTAATCATCCATCACAAGGAGTAAAACCAAAGAATATAGTTCTGATGTACTGAACAAGATTGTTGAGCTTCACAAAATAGAAAGTGGCTGTAAGAAAACAGCTAAAGTATAGAAAATCCCCATTTCCACCATCAGGGCAATAATTAAGAAGTTTCAATGAACTAAAGATGTTACAAATCTGCCTGGAAGAGGACATGTCTATATCGTCCTAATGCATGGTGAGGAGGAGAGTTTGAGTGGCCAAAGACTCTCCAAGGTTTGGAGAATTGCAGAGATTAGTTGAATCTTGGGGTCAGAAAGCCTAAATAAATATATCAAACAGCCCCTACATCACCACATGTTGTTCAAATGGGTTTCAAGAAAAAAAATCCTGGCTCATCCAAAAACAAACTCTAGCATATTCAGTTGTCAGGCACGACTGGAACTTCACATGGCATTGACTTCTATGGTCAGATGAAACAAAAAAATAACTTTTTAACAGTAAACACTTAAAGGGTTAGTTCACCCAAAAATGAAAATTAGGCTGCGTTTTACTCACGCCTGAGGCATCCTAGGTGTATATGACTTCCTTCTTTCAGACGAATCCAGTCGGAGTTATATAAAAAATTGTCTTTGATCTTTCAAGCTCTATCATTGCAGTCAGCGGGTGTTGCATTGCTTCAATCCAAAAGAAGTTAAATAAAAAGCGCCCATGCATTAAAAAAAAGTGTCTCACACGGCACCGGGGGATGAACAAAGGCCTCCTGTAACGAATCGATGTGTTTTTGTAAGAAAAATATCCATATTCAAAACGTAATAATCACTTTAATCTAGCTTGCGCCAACAGTTGTACAAGGAAGCAGCTCCGGGAGTATGACGTATGAGGTCGGCTTTGCGTGTGCGCCGTTCAGAAGTGACGCACGCGGAAAACCGACCTCATATGTCATTCCCCCGGAACAGCTTCCGTGTACAACAGTGAGCGCAAGCTATCAAGTGATTTATTACGTTTTGAATATGGATATTTTTCTTACAAAAACGCATCGATTCGCTACAGGAGGCCTTTGTTCACCCATGTGAGCCATGCGAGACACTTTTTAAATTTTTTTTTATGGATGGGCGCTTTTTATTTAACTTCTTTTGGACTGAAGCAATGCAACACCTGCTGACTGCAATGATAGAGCTTGAAAGATCAAAGACAATTTTTAATATAACTCCGACTGGATTCATCTCAGGGGTGAGTAAAACGCAACCTAATTTTCATTTTTGGGTGAACTAACCCTTTAAGATGTGTTTAGTACAAACAGGGATAAAAGTACAGATTTATTTTCACAGCCACCTTTGCTCATATTTAACAGGGGTGCCAATATTAGTGGAGGGCACTGTATATATTTGGTGTTTATAGATTTATGGATAATTTACAGGAGGCACTGTTGACATAGAAGACACTGAGCTTGATGTAGATGAAACCGTGGAGCTGGTGGATCCCTCTGGAATGCCGATAAGAGAAAAGATGGTGTACATGTCAATGGGTGAATCTAGTCAAAACCAGGATGACATCAGTGAGTCCCGTTACTGTCGGTTTGTTGTGAAAGTGTTTTCTCCAAATGATACTATGGGTTTTTCCTCAAACAGATGTGGTTAAAATCACAGATGAGGTCTACATGGAAGTGGTGGTGGGGGGTGAGGACCCCGGAAATGTTCAGCGGACAATTGACAATACATCGCTCAGCAAAGACTTCATGCCTGTGGCTTGGGCAGCTGCTTACAGTTAGTCAAACACATACACATTTTTTTTGGTTATATTCAAAAGTTGCATTGTGCAGTTTTTTCCACAATCAATCATTTGTGCAGTTAATTATAAAGAAATATGCATGTGTCCTATTATTCTCCTAAATTGTGTCTCCTAAATTATTTGTACATAAGCTAATAAGGAATGCAATCTTTTTTAATTAATTTGAGTAATTTGATGATAATTTATTTTAACTGATAAATTGACAGGCTTCCTAATAGACTTAGAGTCTTTATGCCAACAACCAAATTCGTCACTGAGATGAGTTGTAGTTTATTAATCGAACACTTTGTAATCCACATATCTCTTTAATTTGCAGTACAAGATAGCTTCTCATTATAACCTTTAAATATGGTGTAATGTCTGTCAGGTGGGGAGGAGAGTGAAAGCTGTGAGAACAGGAATGGAGCAGCAAGTGCTTTACTGCACGTTGATGAGTCTGATATGATCGAAAGACTCGGTCGTCAGCGAAGCAAGAACAAGAGCAAGAAACGCTCTGAACTTCGTCACGTACAGACAGGTACATCTCTTCTTCATTTTAGTTATCAGTGTTTGTTACACTTTTTTTGGATTTAATTATATCACATTTTATGTAACATTTTAAATGTATATATTTTAAACATTAAAACATTTTATTTCATTAAATATTATTACCATTCAAAAGGTCAGTACGTTTTTTTATTAAAGAAATTAATTTAATTTTTAATATTTTTAATAACTTTTAATACATACAGTTACAGTACATTGTTGCAAAAGATTTGTATTTAAAATAAATGTTGTTTTGAACTGGCTGCTGAAAATTCAGCTTTGCTATCATAATAAATTACATTTTAAAATAGAATACAGTTATGCTTAATTTGTGATAATTTCGTAATATTACTGTTTTTACTGTATTTTTGATTAAATAAATGCAGCTTCGGTGAGTAGAAGAGACTTAGGCCCAATCCCAATTCTATTTTAAACCCCTTCCCCTTGTCCCTTGAAACAGAGTGGCAAGGGGTAGGGGTGAAAATATTGCCCTAAGAAATGGGACACCACTACTACACCATTACATGTCATCATACGTCATCTAGCTTCCATGGTCTGTCTGAATACTGGTGTGCATTAGAGCCGTTAAATTACCGTTCTATAAGTCCGCGTGAACCGGAAGTTGCCGTCTTTATTTCAGTATGATGACGTATTTCCAACTGAAACTGAATATTGAATAGAGGGCGGGGTTTTATTTTTGCGCTCCTCTCATCTCTCACTCGCAGCAAACTAATTGTCGGAGGGGCATGGTTAAGCATATTCTGCTCAAGCCATCAAACTGCCATTCCAGAGCAGAAGCAAATAATCAGATTTTGATTAAAGATTACCAAAACAAACATTTTCAGTGGATTAACTTGCATGCATTAATTGTTCACCTTAAGACTAACAATGTGCGCTAGCAAAATAAATATTGTACATTTTAATTTCATGCAGACTGTAATGCTCTGCTTATATTGAGACACATGTATATATATCGGAGATCGTGCAGCTCACACACAAACATCAGGAGCAAAGAAACTTGTCAACGCTGCCCCGCAACTTTTATTAATAAAATAGTTTCAATATTGAATCGCTACATTATATTTTCCAACAACGAGAGGATAAAATCACTGTTTTTGAAGTAAACTCAGTCATTGTAGAGAAAGACGCACATAATCACACTCGCAACTTTTTCATCTCTCTCTCTCAAAATGGCCGTATTTGAGAAAAAAAGTTTATCGATTTCTAATTATTGGGGGGACTAGCCCCCATCAATGTCTATGTTGGTTACAGCCCTGACCAGACATGAAAAAAAATAAATGTGTCGTGGGACTATCGTGCAGTCAGTTAATGGTTTAACGTTAGTAAACTTCAGCTATATATATGTATATGTGTATACACCTGTTTTTGAAGTAAACTCAGTCATTGTAGAGAAAGACGCACATAATCACACTCGCAACTTTTTCATCTCTCTCTCTCAAAATGGCCGTATTTGAGAAAAAAAGTTTATCGATTTCTAATTATTGGGGGGACTAGCCCCCATCAATGTCTATGTTGGTTACAGCCCTGACCAGACATGAAAAAAAATAAATGTGTCGTGGGACTATCGTGCAGTCAGTTAATGGTTTAACGTTAGTAAACTTCAGCTATATATGTATATGTGTATATATATATATATATATATATATGTATGTGTATACACCTGTGTGTGTGTGTATTTTTATTTTTATTTGCAAACATTTCTTTGAATAACATGACCTTAAATATTAACACCAGATTGAATTTAACATAAAATAAATGATTACTTTTCATCAAAAATCTTTTTTTAATGCCATAAATGCTTACATTTATGGTGTTCGCTCAGGCAGCCATGTTGCCGGTGTAGCCGGTGCTAAGATCATTCTCATACCCCTTCGTTTGAAGTGTGGTCCCAAAAAAATCTTCGTTTGAAGGGATGTCTGGCCCTTTCCCCTACCCCTACCCCTCCAACCAAAAGAGAATCAAGACACCTCTACCCCTTCACGTGAATGCGCGAAACAGAGGGGTGGGGTAAGTGCAGGGGTAAGGAGTAGAAATGAGATTGGGCCTTATTTTAAAAGTATTAAAAGAATCTTACAGAGCCCCAAATGTTTCAACTATAGCATATATTATAATCATTTTGGTTTACTTTTTCAACTTTAGCAATCATCATTGGACCCTACGGCCAGCCTCTTACAGTGTACCCTTGTATGCTATGTGGGAAGAAGTTCAAGTCGCGTGGTTTCCTCAAGCGCCACACCAAGAATCACCATCAGGATGTCGTAAACCGAAAGAAATACCAGTGCACGGACTGTGATTTCACCACTAACAAAAAAGCCAGTCTCCACAACCACATGGAGATCCACACCCTCAGCAGTAAAGCCCCATTTGAGTGTGAAGTCTGCGGAAAAGAGTTTCACCAGAAGGCGGCGCTGTTCTCCCACCATCTGCAGCACCACCACCGAGAATCCAAGCTTCAGATCCCGCCACCCACCACCAAAATGCACAAATGCAAGTTCTGTGAATACGAGACGGCAGAACAAGGACTTCTAAACCGACACCTTCTCGCCGTTCACAGCAAGAATTTCCCACATATCTGCGTGGAGTGTGGGAAGGGTTTCCGGCATCCTTCAGAGCTGAAGAAACACATGAGAACCCACACCGGCGAAAAACCGTACTCCTGCCTTTACTGTGACTACAAATCAGCCGACTCATCCAACTTAAAGACACACATTAAGACCAAGCATAGCAAAGAAATGCCCTACAAGTGTGACCGCTGTTTCCAGACATTTGCCGAACCTGACGAGCTGTTACAACATGGACTGACACACGAGGAGGCCAAAACACACCAGTGCACCCACTGTGACCATAAAAGCTCCAATTCCAGTGACCTGAAGCGCCACATCATTTCAGTTCACACCAAAGACTATCCACATAAATGTGAAGTCTGTGGAAAAGGCTTCCACCGGCCATCCGAGCTCAAAAAGCACTCTGCTTCTCATAAGGTGAAGAAGTTACACCAGTGCAGGCATTGCAACTTCAAAATCGCTGATCCATTTGTTCTCAGTCGGCATATTTTGTCAGCGCACACCAAGGAGCAGCAGGCATTTCCTGACAAAAGGGGTCTTAAGAAGACGTTTGGACTCAGTGCTCATGGAGGTAAGAAAATTTTGGGCGGTGCCAGTTTGTCCAAGGGCCACCGGGAGCGCCGGGTGTACCAATGCCAGTATTGCGACTACAGCACGGGCGACGCATCGGCATATTTTGTCAGCGCACACCAAGGAGCAGCAGGCATTTCCTGACAAAAGGGGTCTTAAGAAGACGTTTGGACTCGGTGCTCATGGAGGTAAGAAAATTTTGGGCGGTGCCAGTTTGTCCAAGGGCCACCGGGAGCGCCGGGTGTACCAATGCCAGTATTGCGACTACAGCACGGGCGACGCGTCTGGTTTCAAGAGGCACGTGATCTCCATTCACACCAAAGACTATCCTCACCGATGTGACTTCTGCTCGAAAGGCTTCCGCAGACCGTCGGAGAAGAATCAGCACATAATGCGGCATCATAAAGACCTAATGCCTACCATGTGACCTTTGCAATCAGAAACCCATTAGGAAAAGTGCTGTTCTGATGTAGCTGTGGTCTTCAGGGCCGTTGGAAAGCCAACTAATGGCCGCTTTTATGGCCGCAGTATCCGCTTTTTCGGATACTGATAATACAGACAGGCTGAAAGTGCAAGAAAATGGAGAGAAAAACAACCATCTAATGTGTCCAGTTGCAATGTTCTGAAGACACTTTTTAAAAAAAGTTTAATTAACCATTCTTGATCAGCTGACCAGCTTTGGATTAATACGAAAATAGGTAAACTTGCATACCAATCCATCAAGGGTGGATGACATACATGCGTCTGGTTATAAATTTGAATTATGACTCCTTTATTGCATGTTACACAAAACATGTTTGAACAGCTTTGGTGATTGTTGCGTGTTTGTGCACATGCGTTTACAAGTACAAACGTTTTGGGATTAGCCTTGAAGACGTCCGTTGTCATTAAACGACGGTGCTAATGCTTTATCGACTAGCTTCAGATGAACAGAATGTCTAATTAAAGTGAACTGAAAAATGCCATAGCTGCTAAAAATTTGTTTTAATTTTAGGGGGGAAAAATTGCTGTTTCAGACCAGATATAGGCTTTTGGGAAACCCATCTTTTATTTTGGTTCTCTGAACAAAATGAATCCACAACATTGGTGCATTAATTTACTAATATCGGCTATTATGAATTTAATGTAGGACATGGTTTCTTGGTATTTCCAATAAAAATCATATTCCAAATAGTACTCAACTCACAAGAGATCCTGAGGTTTAACCAGAGTGTGCAGACATTAAATCAGGCTGAATGGCTGGTTAATCTAAATTTCTTTGAATTTAGACACTAGTATGTTTGTGTATTTCTTGAATGTGGTCGTTTGGCTTTTGGTCTGTTTGTTGTAAAACTCACCCTCAAATTATTATTATTAAGACGTTTAGGGTAAATTTTATTTTTTACACATACTGAAAATGTATAATTTGGAATAAAGAGATTCTAAAAAACTGTTATGTGTATAGGAAATATTTGTAAATACAGAAGTAATAAACAGTATTTTGTGTCCAAAATGTTTTTTATTTTATTTATTATATTTTTTGATGATGAAACGCAAATGGATAATCTGAATAAATCGCACCAACTTTTGTCATTTGTAAACCAATTTTAATCTTAACAGCAGTAAACAAAACCACCAGAGACAACAATTAAAAAGCATTCTTTATAAAAATTTGTTTACAGGAATCTGCATATCGTTCATGAAACATGTTTGACACATTTACAGGGAGAAAAAAAATCACACATATTGCGACTACAGCACGGGCGACGCGTCTGGTTTCAAGAGGCACGTGATCTCCATTCACACCAAAGACTATCCTCACCGATGTGACTTCTGCTCGAAAGGCTTCCGCAGACCGTCGGAGAAGAATCAGCACATAATGCGGCATCATAAAGACCTAATGCCTACCATGTGACCTTTGCAATCAGAAACCCATTAGGAAAAGTGCTGTTCTGATGTAGCTGTGGTCTTCAGGGCCGTTGGAAAGCCAACTAAAGGCTTTTTCGGATACTGATAATACAGACAGGCTGAAAGTGCAAGAAAATGGAGAGAAAAACAACCATCTAATGTGTCCAGTTGCAATGTTCTGAAGACACTTTTTTTTTTAAGTTTAATTAACCATTCTTGATCAGCTGACCAGCTTTGGATTAATACGAAAATAGGTAAACTTGCATACCAATCCATCAAGGGTGGATGACATACATGCGTCTGGTTATAAATTTGAATTATGACTCCTTTATTGCATGTTACACAAAACATGTTTGAACAGCTTTGGTGATTGTTGCGTGTTTGTGCACATGCGTTTACAAGTACAAACGTTTTGGGATTAGCCTTGAAGACGTCCGTTGTCATTAAACGACGGTGCTAATGCTTTATCGACTAGCTTCAGATGAACAGAATGTCTAATTAAAGTGAACTGAAAAATGCCATAGCTGCTAAAAATTTGTTTTAATTTTAGGGGGGAAAAATTGCTGTTTCAGACCAGATATAGGCTTTTGGGAAACCCATCTTTTATTTTGGTTCTCTGAACAAAATGAATCCACAACATTGGTGCATTAATTTACTAATATCAGCTATTATGAATTTAATGTAGGACATGGTTTCTTGGTATTTCCAATAAAAATCATATTCCAAATAGTACTCAACTCACAAGAGATCCTGAGGTTTAACCAGAGTGTGCAGACATTAAATCAGGCTGAATGGCTGGTTAATCTAAATTTCTTTGAATTTAGACACTAGTATGTTTGTGTATTTCTTGAATGTGGTCGTTTGGCTTTTGGTCTGTTTGTTGTAAAACTCACCCTCAAATTATTATTATTAAGACGTTTAGGGTAAATTTTATTTTTTACACATACTGAAAATGTATAATTTGGAATAAAGAGATTCTAAAAAACTGTTATGTGTATAGGAAATATTTGTAAATACAGAAGTACTTCAGATTAGTGTAACTGAGATCAAGGTCTCCGTCCTCGGTAGGCACCAGCATGGCAGTTCCCATCTTCATGTCAGCCTTGTGACTGACAAACCATTTTGCATTTGTAGCAAAGCCAATGAAATACCACTTTCCTCCCATCTGCAAAGAATATAACTATTTTAGACCAAGGCTCTTAAAAATAAAGATTTCAAAATGTTTTTTTTACAGTGACGCCAAAGAAACACCTTTTTGGTTCTCTAAAGAGCCTTCACTTCTTAAAAGAAAGATTTTTTTCTTACTGCTAAGAACATTGTAATAATCTAAAGAACCCTTTTCCACTATGAAGAATGGAAATATTCCATGGAAGGTTCTTCGTGTAACCATTAATTAAATAATGCATTTTTTTTTACCAGTATGTGTTCCCTGGGAATCGAACCCACGGCCTTTTGCGCTGCTAACGCAATGCTCTACCACAGGAACATTACCATTAATGGCAATAAAGAAGAGAAAACCTAACCTGAGAATATCCCTAAAACTCACTGATAACACACAGATGCTTTAGTGTTTTACAGTAAAACTACAAGGTAAATGCCTGTATATTTTAGTTTGTACCTTTTCCAGGTCGAAGTCAGTCATGGGCATGACATCAGCAGAAGTGAACACTGCACAGAGCAGAACGCACAGCATCTTCAAAACGACAGTCATGGCTGTAGAAGTGTAGGTTCTCTCTCTGTATGCAGTTCAGAAGGCAAAGTCGGCTGCGTAGAGGAGACGAAAGGCAGCCCCTGTTTTATCCTCAGATTTGAGCCCCCCCCAGACCCTCCTTCCTTGAGTCCCTCCCACCTCCGAAGACACAGCAGGAATGATAATTACAGTCCTTACACAACATGCACGTGTGGATTTTTCCAGGTATATGTGGGTGTCTGAAGCTTTTTTTGATACTGATGTCCCTGTTTGGCTTTTATGCAATACATCATGTTTCTTATTGCTCATCCATGCTGACCAAACTACAGTAATACTGTGAAATATTATGATTGAAAACAACTTTCTATTTTAATATACTTTCAAATGTCATTGATTCTTGTGATGGCAAAGCTGAATTTTCTCCAGTCTTCAGTGTCACATGATCCTTCAGAAATCATTCTAATATGCTGATTTGCTGCTATTATTATCAAAGTTGAACTCAAGTTTAGTGTAAACCATTTTTCAGGAGACCTTGATGAATAGAAAGTTCAAAAGAACAGCATTCATTCGAAACAGAAATGTTTTGTAGCATTATAAATGTCTTTACTGTCACTTTTGATCAATTTAAAGCAGCACTATGTAACTTTTGGCGCTCTAGCGGTTAATAAACAGAACTGCACACATCCCGCGGAAGAACATTCTAACCGGAGCTACATCTCTAAGTTTATGTCAATGGCGATTCACGCAGGTATGTGTTACTCCGCAGCGGAGACGACCCGACCAGGCTACAATAGTCCAAATATAAGTACTTATTATAAGTGTACTGTAGTGATTCGGAATAAGACAAAAACGCGGTTTGGAAGATTAATTCATGATGTACTCGCTCATTATATACATTTTGCACATTTTGAACACAGAAAAAGTTACATAGTGCTGCTTTAAAGCATGCTTGATGAATAAAACTATAAAAAAAAATCTTACTGACCCCAAACTTTTGAATGGTATCGTGTAGATTGGAGATGATGTTAAGTCCAATAGACTAAAGAAAAGTGTTTTTAATCAAATGTAGGCTAATGCAAAGTATCAAAATGCATTTTATTGCCAAATCAAGCTCTTGTGCAGCCTTTTGGGTGACTGTGACAGTTGCAGCAAAAAGCAATTTTGAGTTAAAACTAGTTCATTTCTGTGTTAGATGTTTTTCCATAAGAAAATGATTACCTTAGGATATTTTTTGGGATGTTGGATATGAAACATGCTTACCCCCTTGTGTTGTGTAACTCTGAAAGGGTGGACAGGCAGAGTCTTGTTTTGAGAGTTACATCACAAACCACACTAACTTCATCAAGATGCCTTTGCCTTGTTTTAGAAGTACCTTTTTGTTATATCTAAATTTTGATACTTATTAGCAAGGATGCAACCCAAATAAAGATTAGGGGGATGCACTTTACTCAATATCTACTGGTTTTTATTAGGCTATATTGAATGCTATAGTTCCAAGCAAACAAAAAATCTCATTTTAAAACACACAAAACCTTAAAATGACAAAATGGCTTTATTGGTGCAATTCTTAGCACAACGCTTTCTCACAGTGCTCACAAGATGCTGGCCAGTCAGTCTTAGGTTAGATCTGGTGGACAAAGCAATGATTGTGTTATGTTAGGTTGTTAGGCAAAAAGAGGGATTATACAAAATTATACAGTTTCATTGTGTTACAAAACCTAATTTAAGTTACGCAAGTTTTGCAACACATGCCTTTAAAACAGAAAACGTGATTCTAACAAAAGCAGGAGATGCACAAACGGCCGGATTGGCTCTTTTTGTAGGATGAAACAAATCTTTCAGCCAATCAGTAGCTAAATGTTGCCTAACACCAAGCAACGCCACAGAGCAGTCGAGAAAGCCAATTCTTTTAGCGAATCGGTTCGTTTAAATGATTCACATGAATCAGTTCGCAGAACTCCTCGCGCGGGATTTTACGTGTTATTGCACGTATTGAAATAAATAATCAGTTGAACATTTTATGACTCTGTATTCGAATACTTTTTATGTTGTGTCAGTGATTTCCATTAGCTACTGACGAGTATTAAAATACGCTCTGCGAATCGGTTCATTTGAATCATTAAAAAGAACCGTTACAAAATAACGACTCGTGCGCCAATATGACATTAGAATCAGCTGTGCGATGTTTAGAACGTTATTAAATTACTTAACAATATACATGGCGTTCTGTAAATGCCAGTTAATTAAACATTAAGCCAATGTAAAAACAAACAATTGTAACCAGCTCTTACCCAGGACCTTTTCTGTGGACTCGCAGAACCCTGGAAAAGAGTCACGAGTTAAAAAAAATAGGGTTTATCAGCTGTTTTATTATAATTTGTACATTGTCTCACCATAGTCAGGATACTGGAAAATGACGTCCAATCCCAAATTAAATGTCTTTGCACGATCCTCAAATTTATCCACTATATTATCAGGCACTTCACTGGAACGTCCTTTCAAACCAAATACATTTGGATTAAAACTGCTCCTTTCCACAGTGGTGCCATTGTGACACTAAAGAATGGGTTTGAGAAGTTTAAAATAGAGGCTAGAACACCTACCATACAGTTTCATGGTAATTTTCTCTGCTCTTTTAAAAACCACCGTAGCATAGGAGCTGTAGTCTGTCTCCAGCACCATTATGTCCACATTCTCAGCAGGTCTCTTACCTGCATAAATCAATCAATAAATACCTACCTACCAAGAGGAATTTATGTTTAAGAATATGTTTTAAATTATAAACAATAAAATACAATTATACATTTAAAAAAATAAAACGTCATATTTGGACACTTTGTGGTTGTCAAACTTAGTGGAACTCTCTAACGACACCTGAGTGAACCTGATGGCTATGACAATAAAAATGTTATCTATAAAGCATCATTTATAGCATTATAGCATAATTTGCAAACATGTTGCTGTAAATGCAATAATATACATACTCTAAGTGTGTCTAAAGTGTTAAAATATTTCATGGTAATTTTCTCTGCTCTTTTAAAAACCACCGTAGCATAGGAGCTGTAGTCTGTCTCCAGCACCATTATGTCCACATTCTCAGCAGGTCTCTTACCTGCATAAATCAATCAATAAATACCTACCTACCAAGAGGAATTTATGTTTAAGAATATGTTTTAAATTATAAACAATAAAATACAATTATACATTTAAAAAAATAAAACGTCATATTTGGACACTTTGTGGTTGTCAAACTTAGTGGAACTCTCTTACGACACCTGAGTGAACCTGATGGCTATGACAATAAAAATGTTATCTATAAAGCACCATTTATAGCATTATAGCATAATTTGCAAACATGTTGCTGTAAATGCAATAATATACATACTCTAAGTGTGTCTAAAGTGTTAAAATGCATGCTGGATCAAATGTATTTGTCCACAGAAACACTTTATTTGAGTGTCCTTCAAATAAATGTTAGATGCACTTTAGTAATAGCAGTTCTATCATCATAACTCTCTGAAGATTTTAGCATGGTAATGGATATGACAATGTTAATGCATTTGGTCTTGGCTGTAAGAGCCGAAATGATCTCCCAATGAAATCAAAGTCTAGGAACTCTCACAAAACAATAAAACTAATCTGGAGAAGAGATCTCCAAAAAGATCAAATGACAACACCATGTCCAAACCTCTCTCCTTGCTCATTGCCCTCTCACTTTCCCCTCTAAATTGGAACTGAAGTTAATTGGATTATCATTGTTTATTTATAAAACTGGCATGATACATTTTTACCTGACAAATAAAATGTTATATTTGATTTATTCCGAACTCTTCTGAAATCATTATGACTAGTAGATTAAGTGAAGTCTGGTATTACCGCAAATCTGCGTCCAGGATTGGTCAACCTGAAGGCCCAAAGAATCAAGCATGTGGCACATCATGTGGGACCTTTAGATTCCTGTCTATGAGTGACTTAGCAAGTTGCAGCTGCGTGACTAAGGAAAATATACTTTTTGAATGAGTGTGCAAGTGGCAACTGACTTAAAGGTATTAGTTCACTCTGCATCCTCTGACTAACTCAGAACTGGCGAGTTTGTGATCGAGAGACCCACGCTGGCCACGCAAGGCCCTAAGCGACACTGGGTCCCTAATGAACGAATAATTGAAAGAATGGGATGTCCAGATTAATCAAATATCTAAATGAATACATAACCATTATTTGTGATCAGTTTTAATTAGAAATAGTCTAAAATTAATGATCACTTAAAATTGGAGTCAGATTAAACACAGAGCTAGACTCAAATTGAAACTAAATCCTGATCAATTAAGTGAACGTTGCAGAAGCGCAAGTAAAAGACCTACACACATTATATATTTGCATATATAGTGGCATATAATAACCCATAGCAGATCTATACAGGTGGAGCTGGGGAAGGTGGAGGGTTTCAGAGAACTCTGAAAGCTTGCTGCCAAGTGCTCTAGTGAATGCTAACCTGCCATTTAAATGTAAAGCAGTAAGCTCATTGGCTGCCTATACAACATGAACCAATCAGCTTGTGCCAAGTAGTTTCATGCTGTGAATATCATCAGTTTCCATTAACGACCCATCGGCCTGCTATTCTAGAGTTTCAAGAAAGAACTTGGCATTCAAATTTTTACATAATTATCTAACATTAAACCAAACCCTAATCATATCCCTATAGTAGTAAGGCACGGCTAGCTGTGCGTTCAACAATTTCAGTGCACAACGTGGAGGCTTAGAACCACCCGACATGAAGCGGCCGTTCATTATCCCACTTATACCATGGTCATTTGCCAGCATTGACAAATTAAAGCTGTTAATGATGATGTTTGGAGTGCAAACGGGTAAAAATGACAGTTACGAATTGTTAGCGCTAGCATTCTGTCTGTTTCAAATCAGAAACAGAGATGAAATAGTGCGTTAAGATCACATTTATTTGAATGAATTATAGCAGTTATTTGCATTAATTAATTGATCGACAGAGAGAGAGTGAGAGTGAGAGAGATGACAGTTTTGTGTGCATTACTGCACGTCTCTCTACAAACAATTAAGCTGTGTTTAGTTACTTCAAAAACA